CTGCAATGATGGGCTCAAGTATAGCAGGGATTGTGGGGCTGGCGTGGGATCGGGCAGTGTTTCATTCTGCTGTGCATGGGGTCGCTATGAGTCGGAAATTACTCGACGGCACTTAACAACAACAACAACACATGTAATTTGTTTAAGAAGTACTTACTTTAAAGTTTGTTAAGTCAAGGCTAAATTGCTAGTTCTCAATGACACAGTCAGTGTTCAACTTTCTTCTTGTAAAAGGTTTTCTTTACTAAGATATTTTAGTAACCAAGTCTTTGGGTGCCTGGGATGAAGGGACAGGAAAAAAACAAAAAAAACAAAAAAAAAAACCAACCATCCTCAAAGCCATAAGGATACAATTTTTTCTCTTCTAAAAGTACTACAACCACCTTCATGTAGTTACCAAAATTCTCACTTAACTCAAGGATAAATTCAAGGTCATCCATTTTAGTATGCTAAGTGTTTGTTATGTGCTCAGCTCTTGCATTTTCAGGGAGTTGATGGTCAACTTACCTGTTACCAGGCAACTCAGGTAACAATTTCCCTTCAAGGACCACAGGCCTGCTATAGACACTGAGTCTTCCAGCATATCAGAGAAAGGGAACTTGATGTAGGCTGGAGTGAGGGAGTTCTAACAGAAGAGAATTTAAGCTGGCCTTCAAGGACAGGACAAATATTGGCAGGCAAAGAGGAAAGGACATCCCAACCAATAGATGGAGGAACAAAGGAAAAGCAGGGGATAGGCAATATGCAGACCTACATGAAGAAGCAGAGACAGCCAATATGGAACAGTTAGTTGGGAAGAAATAAGGAATAAGGCTCCAACGGAGGGAAAAACAAATTAACTCCTTAAAGTCAAACATATATTCACAAGCTTTCATGGCAGAACTTCATGTGTAGGTTTTTCAATCAGACTTTAAGCTGGGTTTAAACACAGCCTGCTTCTATTCAAGAAGTAAACAGAAAAAACATTAAAAAAAAAAAAAAAAATCCACACTCGAAAATATATCTTCAGTGGAAAATCTATATTAACTTTAGTTTTGCTTAATATACCTTTAAAAGATTTTACTACTTTATTAAACGGCATACATACATAAAAAATGACTTGTAAGCCCAGTAGTGCACAAAGCAAAAAACCCAGCTATTTATCTAATGTCTCACCTTCTGCTGAAATCAACTTGGATGGAATGATCAATTACAAGATCAGCAGGGCAGACAGGGTTTATTTTCTCTGGATCTCCTCCTAACTTTTTTACAGCATCACGCATTGCAGCAAAGTCAACCACAGCTGGCACACCCCTATAAAAAGACACAGAGAATTAAGCAGAAAAATAAGCCTTGAATTGAATTTTACAGTTATTGCCTCAATTAATAATATTGGCAATGAGTGGTTTATAAAAAGTGAAAGTTTCTAAGCACATTTCGTTGAGCTAAAATCACATATGTGGAAAAACCATTACAAAGTAGTATCTTTATATGCAGTTTTATCAGTGTATTAAATTTAATAACTATAGTCCAAACAGAGAAACTATGGGAAAGCTAGTACTCTGGAAATGTTACTGATATGATTGCTTTCCATTCATATGGTACGATGACAAAGATCTAAAGAAGATATCTGGGTCACAACTTCAACTTCAGACCAAACTTGAAGGAAAGAATATAATTTAAAAAGTAGGCTGTGAATCAAATTTTTGTTAAGAGAAACCTTCCTTCTTATTATCTTAGCATATATAATTCAGGTGATCTTCCTCTAGAAAAATAAAATTTAGTGTCTAGAAAAATCAAAATAATATCATTTAAAATGGAAAGGCTGTGTTTCAAAACAGAGGCCGTGATGGAGAGAAGGATTCTGGGAGGAGCAGGAAGCATGCTGAGGCTTAACAGCAATAGGTTAGACCATGTGCACTATCTGCTACCCCTTAGCAGACCACACATCAGCGTTCCAAGGCCAGCTGATAAATACCTGGCTCCATGGGTGACAGGGTGTGGGGGAGAAAAGATTCCAAGACGGGGCCACTCTATGCTATTTCTTTATTTTCCCAAGGATATTTAGGACTAGAATCTTTAAGACTGAAGACAATGACCCTTGCCATTGGAAAAGGTGTTGGAGGATCACTTGGTTTACTTCTATTTGCCCCAGGTAACTGACCTCTTTTTGTTTTTATGTCTAGATATTCGATAACAAATTAAATGATCACTATGGTTTTTTGTTGTGTTTTTTTTTTTTTTCAAAAAAAGGTATTCTGACAAGGGGGTGGACAAGAGGAAAGTGAAGTGACACGAGGCTCACGTAAAGTCCTGTAAGATGACTCGGGCAGGCTTAAATGGCACTTCTATGTTCTTATGCTGCATGACATTCCAATTCAGGATGTTTTCAATGTCGTTTTTCTTCACCAAAAACTCATCACAGTTCCGAACAGCTGCCTCCAGGAGAACTCTGATAGAAAATGGTAAACGTCCTAGACGTAACGGAGAAAGTATAATAAAAAAAAAAAACTATGAGACACCTTATAAAGAGGTCTCTTCAAAGCTAATCTTTGTATAATTGATACAAGGCATCACGCTATTGTTTCAACAGGGAAAGAAGGTAAAGTTTAAAATGACCAACAGAATATACAGATATTGAATGGGCTTAAGAGATCTTCAGTAAGAGAAAACGTCCACAGAGTAAGAAAAATAAAATATTTCAGTTTTTTCTTTCACATTAAATGATTGCCTTGCTTTTGATTCCAAAAGCCGGACGTTTCTCTTAAAGTCACTACATTTTACCATGAAAGATGTCAGTCTAGATTTTTATAGTATTATGTGTTAGCAAATACACACACTATACCTCTTATGAAGAACAGTGCTCAAGAAATGAGAAAATAACCTCTTTATAGGTACTGTAATTAAGACCAAAGTATAGGCACATACATCTTTCAAAGGAAATAAGACCCTGAATGCCATGTAGCATGGCCACGGTAACTGACAGGTAAAACAATGGTAAGTCATAAGAGAATTGATTGTACTTTTGTTTATAAAAGTTTTGTTATGATATATAGAAATTATTCACTAGTATTATCTGGAAATATTACCTAGAAAAGAGAGTGGAAAGGTAGGAAAAGCATTGGATTTGGAGTGAAAAGACGTGTGTCCTTATCCCTTTCTGCTACCCACAAAATTGTTACCTGGATACACCATTCATCCTCTGTGGACCTCAGTTTCCTCAGGAATTCATACATTTTATAACAAGTACCAGAGGACTGTTATTTAGATTAAGTGACATAATCTAGAAATGGAAATACTTCATACACTATCAAGTATTATATATATTTTAAATATACATAATTATTATCTACTTAAAAATGAGCACTGTAAGAAAGGAATGTGTGTGAGTTTGTGTTTATGTGCTTAATCTATGAACATTCAGCTGGCATAGCTGAACATTCTCTGCATAGCTCAAAAACCTGACTTCCTGCTTTCCAAGTCTGTGCTCAGTCTTCAAATAAAAACTGCGTTTCTACTCACTCTTCCATTTCCCCTGGGGAAGGCTAATTAATTACATAGCTTAATTATGATGCAAATGAGATTCCAAGTGATGTCAGAGGTAATTACATCATAGAGTCATGTACCTACCATATCTTGAATCCCCCAATTTATTCAAATTAAAGAATTTCTTTCCTGGTTGTGCAGGATCCAATGGCTCAGCAATGTGCTTGAATGGGTTGCTCATGATTACTGATGGTCACGTGTCCCTAAAAAGCAAAGTGGAAATTTAATTTTCACTTTCAAAGGTGGACTTCATTTATAGTGGTGACCCCACCCTGTTTAACAACTATTATGCACATTCACTTAAAAAAATCACTTATTTTTCCAAAATAGGGGGAAGAGAGGGCACAAATGAACACAGGATTGATATTCTTTGCAAATAAAATCGATTTCTGTGAAACTACTGTGAAAGCTTGCAGTTGCCTCTCAAGAGAGTGAAAAACCCCAAATGCCTTTCACCTTATTTCTGTAACTTCCTAACATCCTCCACTAATAAGACGTTGCTGTTGTTAGGTGCCATTGAGTTGGTCACAGCTCATGGAGAACCTCATTCACAACAGAACAAAACGCGGCCCTGTCCTGTGCCATCCCCACGTCGTTTATAATTGGACTGTTGTGATCCACAGGTTCTTCACTGGCTAATTCAGATGCAGAAGAGAAATGAAGGATTATCTCATGGTACATTTGAGTATATGAAAAGACCTGAGCTGGACTCATGCCTTGCTTGGCAGGAGATAAGAAGTGCATACCAGGTGACATTATGCAATTGTATAAAACTTGCACTTTGGAAGTAGGGACTTGAGAGCAGCGGTTTTCTGGTAACATCCTATGAATTTCCTGTTATCAAGAGTCTCTGTGACATTTTTAATAAACTTGTATACCAGATGCCTTCCTGTTTCAGAGTTATTCATAAATTTTTCTAGCAATATATCAGAAGATGTTACCCTACTATTCATAAGGTTTTCACTGGCCAGTTGTTTGAGAAGTAAATGGCCTCTTCCTTCTTCCAAGTCTATCTCAGTCTGGAAACTGCTGAAACCTGCCCACTATGGGCAACCCTGCTGGCACTTGATGCACCTCTGGCACAGCCTCCAGCCTCACAGTAACACACAAGCCACCACAGTACAACAAACTGACTGACAAGTTCGTCTCCATTAGCTGTTCCAAACCACTCTGCTCACTTCCTGGCCTTCCCCCTACCTGTTCCGGCCATCCATCGGCTGCCACTTCCTTCCTGGGGGCTCTCCCTCTTACCTGTCCACGCTGGCTGCTGCTTCCTGCCTGGGACCCTCCCTTCCACCTGGCCATCTGCCCTGGCTGCCACTTCCCGCTTGGGGGCTCTCCCTCTTATCTGTTCTGGCCATGCACCTTGGCTGCCACCCCCAAGCACCTTTAAGGATTCCCTGATGTGAACACTCCATTGCCACTGTACAAAACTCTGAAACACTGTGGAATACAGTGCCAGAAGATGAACCCCTCATGTCGGAAAGCACTCAAGACACGACTGGGAAAGAGCTGCCTCATCAGAGCAGAGCTGACCTTAATGATATGGATAGAGCAAAGCTTCTGAGACCTCCATTTGCTGATGTAGCAAGATTCAAATGAGAAGCAACAGCTACAAACATACATTAATAATCGGAACATGGAATGTACTAAGTATGAATCCAGGAAAACTGGAAGCTGTGAAAAATGAAATGGAACACATAAAGATTGATATATTAAGCATATGTATATTAGTTAAATGGACCAGTTTTGGCCATTTTGAATCAGACAACCACATGATCTGCTATACCAGGAATGACAAATTGACGAGGAACAGTGTGGCATTCATCATCACAAAGAATGTTTCAAGATCTATCCTGAAGTACAATGCTGTAAGTGATAGGATAATATTCATACGCCAACAAGGACGACCAGTTAATGCTACTATTATTCAAATTTACGCACCAACCACCAAAGCCAAAGATGAGGAAATTGATTACCAACTAACTTCTACAGTCTGAAACTGACTGAACATGCAATCAAGATGTATTGATTATCACTGGTGATTGGAATATAAAAGTTGGAAACAAAGAAGAATCACTGGTAGCTGGAAAATTTGGCCTTGGTGATAGAAATGACGCTGGAGACCGCATGATAGAATTTTGCAAAACCAATGATTTACTCATGCAAATACATTTTTGCAATTGCAACACCTTGAATATATATCCCTCCTTGAATATATGACCTTGAATAGGACCTTGAATTATCCCTTCTGAATTTACAGACTACCTAAAGAATAGATTTTTTAAGAGTTTGTTTTACATTCAACGTTACATGTACATTTAGTTTCACTCCCCATTCACCATGCTCAACCCTAACCCAGTCTACTCCCCTCCCTGCCCAGTAACACTTCCCCTGTACCCCTCACAGTTTTGCACTCCTGTTTGTCATGCATTTCCTCCATGTGAATGTTGCCCCTCTGGTGCCCCGTGGTCTACTGCTCTAAGGGATGTATTTCCATAGAGTATGTGGGTGCGTCATCCTGGGTTGCGTGGTCTGCATGCACATCTTGTTAACTACTGGGCTAAGAGCCAGGCCCTGGGAGTGAGTTTTATTCCAGACACAGAATAAAGAATAGATTTGATGCACTGAACACCAAAGATCGAAAACAGAGGAATTGTGGGATGACATCAAGAACAAAATCCATAAATAAAGCAAAAGGTGATTAAAAAGGCAGGAAAGGAAGAAAAGACCAAAATGGATGTCAGAAGAGACTCTGAAACTTGCCCTTGAACAAAGAGTAGCTACAGCAAATGGAAGAAACAACAAGATAAAAGAGCTGAACAGAAGATTCCAAAGGTCAGCTCAAGAAGACAAAGTCAATTATTATAATGAAATGTCCAAAGACATGAAGTTAGAAAGCCAAAAGGGAAGAACACACTTGGCACTTCTCAAGCTGTAAGAACTGAAGAGGAAATTTAAGTCTCAAGTTGCTATATTGAAAGATTCCATGGGCAAAATATTGAATGATGCAGGAAACATCAAAAGAAGATGGAAGGAAACCTACTATACAGCCACAGTAGTCAAAACTGCCTGGTATTGGTATGACAGACACATAGACCAATGGAATAGAATTGAGAACCCAAAAATAGATCCATCGGAGTTCCAGCAAGATGGTGGACTAGGCAGAAGGATTGCACAGACCCTCTTCAACAAAGAAAAGGGAAACCAATTAACACAGACACAGAAGATAATCGTGGACCCCTGAGCCTTGAA